GCTCGCTTTAAAAGTCTCCGCAATAAAGCCAGCAAGGTAGCACGGTCTCCTAGACTCAAGTATGATTTAACCATAGCCAAAGAGGCCTCGAAAAACCCCAAAAGATACTTCGGGTATACTCAAGCCTGGTCCTCATCAAGAAAAGTGATCGGCAATGCCCTTCACATTCATGGACAACTGTTGACCACCGACAAGGAAATTGCCGACTCATTCCTCGCTTCCTTCCGAGAGGTCTATCGCCTGGATATCTTGAGCAACTACCCTACCCTCGATCGAGGGAGCGACATGCCATTTTTGGTGATCTCTACACCGGACGTGGAAAGTCTTTAAGGCTCTTAAAGTCTCCAAATCCGCGGGGCCAGATAATGTCCACCCAGCCGTCATAAAACCCATAGAACCTTTAATGATCCCCCAACTATTCACAATGTTCAACGATTCTCTGAATGCAAGCTGAGTTCCGAAGGATTGAAAACCTACCACAGTTGTCCCAATCTTTAAGGGGGTAATCGATCGGATACGTCCAACTATCGTCCGACCAGTCTCACCAACATCGTTGCTACGCTCCTGAAGCGTATTTAGCGAGAAAACATAAGTGCTCACGTTCTTCAAAACGATTCCTTTTTCAACGCCCAACACGGATTCATCAAAGGCAGATCTTGTCTAACAAATCAACATCAAATTAGTTGGAAACCCGCACGACAGGTACTCCTTGCAGAGTGATATCTTGAAGATATGCAAGTGGTCGGAACATATGAGGAGCATATAAGTAAAACCGTAGAGTTAGAGGTTAAGACCAGACAACAAGAAGGGCACTTAGAGGCCCTCCTGCAGAAGGTTAATCGGCTCGAGACGGCTATGCTCAAACTTGAGGCCAGCAGTGAGATAGCACTGGGTTGGCAACCGAACGTAGTAATTAAAGGAATTGCTGAGCCTTTGTGTGTAAACCCAAAACAGAGGGAAAGGGAACTCCGACACTCGGTCACTAGCCTGCTGCGGACAGCAAATATCCCCGGCCAAGCTTTTCTCATAAAGGTATTTAGACTGATTAGATGGGCCGGAAGAATAAATACTAGCCAGGGGCAGCAAGACCGGTGCTGGTTGAGTTTTGGAACCCGAAGTACCGGGACGCTTTCCGGACAGCGTCAGAAAGAGCAAGGATGGTGACTTTCGGTTTGGTCATAATTGAACCCGATCGCTCAACTATGGGGAGGGGAGAATTCATAACCGTATCCTCTTCGAGAAGGATATCGCTAGCTGGACAGTGGAAGTCACCAAAGTTAGCGATCGAAAGAGTGCAAGGCAAGCTCACGCAGACTACTGACGAGACACGTCAAGAAACGTATGCCAGTATTGCTGGGCGTATCCTCGGAAACCTATTAAGTCCGGTGCTAAGGATGATTACCTCATCTCCGACAACCAGCATAAT